TAAGCGAAGTTCATGATTACAAATAACTCTGCGCAGTAATTTGATTTTGACTATGTTGTCAAGTGAGAACTCAGGCAGTGTGCGCCCTCCGATTGCGTTGCATTGTAGCAGCGATATTTTAAAAATGGCGGTAAAAGCGACAGAAATCGGCAGATTTTGACTAAACATTTCGCAAAAGTTAGGCTGTTTCTCTTTTCTTTCACTATGGGTAATGTGATTCGATATATTGTGTTCGGGCCTGGACCCGCAGTGGGAGGATCTCACGCCCCCCCCAGTGAGACTGGACTTATGACGGAACCACCCTACTGAGGACAGTTTTTTGTTGTGTCACTATTAAGGTATATAAAAACATGTGCTTTTTCGCTTTAAGTTATTTTAGTAGTCGGAACAAAACATTTTAGTAGTCTGAAGAGAACATATTGTGAATGTGAAGTATTTTTTGGGAGTATTTGTCGCGTATTCTATCGTTCTCAAGGACAAACGCAAGCACTGTTTTCTTAGCTTGCAATTTGAGACCGGTTTTCGAGAAGGTCAAATTCGTTGTAAGTCCTAGTTTGAAGCCCTTCAGAGATTTGCATAGCCACTTTGATTCTTGTTACAAAAGGTTAAATATTTTCTTCTGTGCGCGAGCGCGTGGAGCGAGACAAATTCGTTCTTAGGAGGCGTGGGGCTTCTTATATTTTCGCTTGGTGGAAAAAGTTCCTGTATTGGCAAGTCTCTGTCTGTTTATTATGCGTTTGTATGTCAAGGGCCGAGTCCCTATTAAATAACTCGCGTGTAGGAAAATAATTTCTGACTTTGATATTATTCATTCCGCCATCGGCTGTGAGTGTAATATAATTGCTGCCATTCGTGTCAAGATTCGTACACAGATTGCAGTTTCGAGTCTGTCTTAATCACGTCAGTTGTCTCCTACGAACAAATTCGTCATAGAGGAATGACAGGAGTCGCGCAGGCCCGTCAAAATTTTTAACTTTCGAAAGAAAGGCAATGGACAGTGAATCCCCATTATCATCCAAGCATATTCACGCTGTCTCGCCGCCACCAAAGAAGTTCACTCGACCGCGTCAGGATGCAAATGACTCACTTTTTGATTTACGACCATGATGCAGCGCAATCAGAGTGCGCACACCTCCTGGTGAGAACCTGTCAAACATCTGAGAATTAAATAACGAAACGCAAAGGTGCGATGTAAACAGACGCACGGGTTTCTTGGATTTACTTCTACTGCGAAAAGAGAGAACTGTTCTTTTTCATCATTAAATTCTAGCCCTACATTTCATGCTTTCTACTCGATGCGTTCGAACAACAGGAAATGTTCGCCTCACAAACACATGGAGCCACTTTTTTAATTTTTTTTTTTTATCTCATTTATTTATTTTCCAAACCTTAGCAGAAATAGTTAAATTACATTGTATATAGGAAGGAGAAGAGAGGAGCACGCATACACTTTCTCTTTGCACAACATTTCGAGTAAAACGTTCTTTATTAATGCTCAGATTGTGATGAACATGCTTATGATACGAGCGCTTTCTTCTACTGCTGGAAACCCAAGAATCAGTCTCTAAAATTGAGATGTAATGAAACGGGGTCCTGGCATTGTACTCGCAAGCACTCTGGTTAGCATATGGTTTGCGTAAATAACTGTCGCTTACAGATTGCGAAGCACGTTTCGGGCAGTTTTCAGGACACGTTATCAGTTTGCAATTCATGACTATTTACTGCCTTTGACCATTTCGTAAGTGATTGAGAAAGATAAATCCGTATATGTACCACTAGTAACATATCTGAAGCACATTTTAAACTTTCCATGCATACGATTTTAGGAAACTAGGTTTTATGTTGACTCTAATAGAGTGTGTGAAGAATTGTCTTCCTCTCTCTTCAACATCATGTACTGTTTCTGGAGCACAATTAAAAGAAGCAGGTTATTGAAAAATATCTCACTTTTGATTCAGTTAATTGCTGCGCAGCGAGCGAGCAGCAACATAATCAGGATTTGAAAAATACATAGGGGATGCGAATTCTCTAATTCATCACTTTTTAACAGAATGTATTGCAGCTAGCAACCAGAGTGCACTGTCCCACGGTGTTGTGATAAGTGTATTGCGTTACATAGCGTTGCTACTGCAAGGACATTTCCTATATGTACTCAATCGACTTGTAAACCTACTTTCCTAAGAAAAAGCAAATTAACTAATCGCGAGTATTGTAAGATAAATGTACTATCTTCATCACTTAACGAAGGACAGTTGAATAAGAACAATAAAAGAAGTCACTTGATCAATGAATAACTCTACCTCGCATAAGTTGACATGCTGGTAAGGCGGGTTNCACTTTGATTCTTGTTACAAAAGGTTAAATATTTTCTTCTGTGCGCGAGCGCGTGGAGCGAGACAAATTCGTTCTTAGGAGGCGTGGGGCTTCTTCTATTTTCGCTTGGTGGAAAAAGTTCCTGTATTGGCAAGTCTCTGTCTTTTTATTATGCGTTTGTATGTCAAGGGCCGAGTCCCTATTGAATAACTCGCGTCTAGGAAAATAATTTCTGACTTTGATATTATTCATTCCGCCATCGGCTGTGAGTGTAATATAACTGCTGCCATTCGTGTCAAGATTCGTACACAGATTGCAGTTTCGAATCTGTCTTAATCACGTCAGTTGTCTCCTACGAACGAATTCGTCGCAGAGGAATGACAGGAGTCGCGCAGGCCCGTCAAATTTTTTAACTTTCGAAAGAAAGGCAATAGACAGTGAATCCCCATTATCATCCAAGCATATTCACGCTGTCTCGCCGCCACCAAAGAAGTTCACTCGACCTCGTCAGGATGCAAATGACTCACTTTTTGATTTACGACCATGATGCAGCGCAATCAAAGTGCGCACACCTCCTGGTGAGAACCTGTCAAACATCTGAGAATTAAATAAGGAACCGCAAAGGTGTGATGTGAAACAGACGCACGGGTTTCATGGATTTACTTCTACTGCGAAAAGAGAGAACTGTTCGTTTTCATTATTAATTTTTAACCCTACATTTCATGCTTTCTACTCGATGCGTTCGAACAACAGGAAATGTTCGTCTCACAAACACATGGAGCCACTTTTTTAATTTCTTTTTTATCTCATTTATTTATTTCTCCGAATCTTAGCAGAAATAGATAAATTACATTGTATATAGGAAGGAGAAGAGAGGGGCACGCATACACTTTCTCTTTGCACAACATTTCGAGTAAAACGTTCTTTATTAATGCTCAGATTGTGATGAACATGCTTATGATACGAGCACTTTCTTCTACTGCTAGAAACTCAAGAATCAGTCTCTGAAATTGAGATGTAATGAAACGGGGTCCTGGCATTGTACTCGCAGGCACTCTGGTTAGCATATGGTTTGCGTAAATAACTGTCGCTTACAGATTGCGAAGCACGTTTCGGGCAGTTTTCAGGACACATCATCAGTTTACAATTCATGATTATTTACTGCCTTTGACCATTTCGTAAGTGATTGAGAAAGATAAATCCGTATATGTACCACTAGTAACATATCTGAAGCACATTTTAAACTTTCCATGCATACGATTTTAGGAAACTAGGTTTTATGTTGACTCTAATAGAATGTGTGAAGAATTGTCTTCCTCTCTCTTCAACATCATGTACTGTTTCTGGAGCACAATTAAAAGAAGCAGGTTATTGAAAAATGTCTCACTTTTGATTCAGTTAATTGCTGCGCAGCGAGCGAGCAGCAACATAATCAGGATTTGAAAAATACATAAGGGATGCGAATTCTCTAATTCATCACTTTTTAACAGAATGTATTGCAACTTTTAACCAGAGTGCACGGTCCCACGGTTGTTGTGATAAGTGTATTGCCTTACATAGCGTTGCTACTGCAAGGACATTTCCCATATGAACTCAATCGACTTGTAAACCTACTTTCCTAAGAAAAAGCAAATTAACTAATCGCGAGTATTGTAAGATAAATGTACTATCTTGATCACTTAACGAAGGACAGTTGAATAAGAACAATAAAAGAAGTCACTTGATCAATGAATAACTCTACCTCGCATAAGTTGANGCAAAACAACTCGGATGCAAGACCAACATTCACTGAAAAACAAGAAAATCTTACCTAAGGTGAGGATTTATCTACCCTCAGCAGTGTTTCAAGCAAAAACGTCATTGGGACTGACTTAATTAGGGTGAATGATGACTCAAACGAAACATAAAAAAAATTCCCTTTAATGAGAATCAGGAATGACTTTTTTATTTCGAAGGCCAGGAAAGAAAGACAACTGTGTTTGTAGCACAATAAACCCATGAGGGTCGTTTAGTCTCTCTTTTTTTTTTCACTGTCTTGGACCGTCTTTGGTGACTTCGTTGCCTACATTGTCCAAAAGTTACGGACTTAGTAATTCCGCTCCACGTACTTTTTCTCTCGCGGGATCAAAGTGGGCAATCCTGAGCGAGCGAAATGAGCTCATCTTGCCTACTTGGGTAGCCAAGAAGAACACAGGATTCGCTTCATCATGCCCGCGGGCGTTGTCAACTGTATAATTAAGTTAGTTACAAGCAAATGTTTCCTCAGACTCCAAACTGCCGGTAATTCATTATAATACTATGTTATAAAATAAATTTGATATTGCCACTGATATCACCCTCTCAAGAAAATGGTTGCCTCCTTTGCAGAAACTCATCTAAATGAAAATTTATGACAAGCAGTTCTACGCAAACGTCGAGGATTTAGTAGTGCAGACATGAAGTCATAAATTTACCATTGATTCTTTCCCTTTGAGTTATCAGTAACTTAATTTGTTGTGTCTACTCTTTAATTCAGGACCCCTCTAGGAAAGGAATTTGTAAACAACTTTCGAAATCCAATTTTTCACACGGCACTTATCCAAAAATTCAAATTATCAAATCAAAATTATTTAATCAGCATTTATTAAGCATAACTTCTCCACAGTATAGAAGCAATAATTGATAGTTCTTCAATATCAGCGTGACAGATACAAGTGGATTGACTTTGCCTCTCCACAGATGGATCGCAAAATAGAAAGATAAGGGTAACTGTCTCGCATTGACTAGAACCGCCTGCAGTAGATACACACACAATTATTATAGCTATAGCTGTGGTTAGTAAATGTAAATAAGGTTATTACAACGGCTTCAAGTATGTATATATATATAAAGTTAAGCAGCTAAAATGCTACAATATCTTGTGTTTAATTCCTGAGTAAGAACCTCGCTCTCGACAACAAGTGATCGCAGATTCGAGTTTTCATTCACTCTTTATTCCGTTCTTTCGAAAGCAAGCACGTCATGTTATAGGCATCAGATCATCGGAGCAACGGGCCGGGAGAGAGTGGGAGGGAGTAATCCATGTGTTTATTAAGGGCCTGTTTACATGGAGGGAGGGTGCCCCGGCTAACTGGGCTACCCGGCTAGAAGGGTTAAAACATAGCCCGCCTTTACATGCAACTCACCTAACGGGGACAGTGAGTGGGCTACGTGGGCAATCTTTTAAGCAGTCGCTAAGCAAAAGAAACAATGGCCGACAAAAACAACTTTTTGGTGGCAGGTTTGATGTTTGTTTCGCTCATTCCACTAGCGACCGCTTTTCAATGCCTAGGGCTGCTGTTCTGCACTTTGCTGCCATGTTTATCGATGTTTTCGCGGTTAAAGTGCACC